TAGCCTAGCTGTCACCCACACGGCTTCGGGGCTGACCTTCAGTCGCCGCGGAGCGTGCGGCGAGCTACTCAAACACAGCGTGCCTGTTACCCTTCTGTGAAGTGCGCGTGTGTGGGGGCGATAACAGGTCCCGTCTCAGGAAGCTGCGAAGATTACATCGCTTAATACTAATTCAATGGCCAGTGCCCGGCTGCTGCTATTTATAATTACTTAAAATGTTTAAAATCTAACTGCTGTCCAGTATTCCTTCCGGTCACTCTGCTTATCTTAATTTGGGGCTCCCAAGAAGCAGACCCTAAGGCCGGAATCCAGGAGCGTCATGATTTGGGAGGCCAGCCCGGAGCCCCGGGCGGATGAGCAGAGAGAGAAGGAGCCTTCAGGGGGCGCCAACGCGCAGCTCCTCGGGCCCTGCGGGAGGCAGCCCGGCGGGCGCCCTGGAGACGTCCCACCCGAGGGAGCGGAGCTGAGGCGTTGTAATCCATCTCCGTCCCTGGCGGCCCGCAACGTGGCCTCCCGTGGCCAGAGCAGCTCTCAGCAGAGACCTGCCAACCCGGCAGGTGGGACACGCCTGCTGACGGCGGCCCGCTCAACGACACGTGCTGTTTGCCCACCGCCCCCTTAAGGCCGTTCAGTCGCTTCAAAAATTTTACTATAACCAACGTGGCTACGGGACCTCAAATAAGGTCTTTCCACATCAGAAAAAATCAAGCTTTACCTTCTGAATTCGATTTTTGTGCATCGAAGGATCATCATTTGCCTATCTCCCCCCTCCCCCATGGGATGCTCAGCCAGTGTATGGGTCACATAGGTCCCCAGCGCCAGGCAGGTGCTCACGTTCACGTCTGTCTCCCAGCCCTTCACCGTCACCCTCCGCGGTGGTTTTGACTGTCCTGGTTTTACAAAGAAGGAAGCTGCGGCACAGAGAGGTTAAGGTGCTGGCCCAGGGTCACACAGCAGTGAAGTGGCTGAGCAGACCTCAGCCACCACCTACTGAATTAATGCTCAGAGGTCTTCGGTCACCCATGTCTGCCCACTTTCCGGGTTTGCCCCTAGGTCGGCTTTGCTGCCCCAGCCTAGTCCTTTGCTGTCACACCTGTCTCCAGTCCTGACCTGGCGGCTCCAGAGCCTCACAGACCCTCAAGGTCCCCAGACCCCGAAAACGGCCTCTGCTGCTGGGCTGGGCTGCTGGCAGCTGCCCTCCGCCCTCCTGGGGTGAGACTGGACTCCCAGAGCAGCAGGAACCGAGAGTGGGTTTCGGAGGCTGTCTCTGGAGAACCGAGATGGCAGGAAGCCAGGAGGGCAGCTGGGCAGAGACTTTGGAGACTGGCTGGGGAGGCTCTGGGGTGGAGAGAGGGGCAGACCGGGGGTACATAGACGGGAGGGGGTGGGAAGCCCTTGGCCCTGCTCCAGCTCCCCAGTCTAGGGGCTCCCGCAGGCAGGGCCCAGGCTGAGGCCTCTCCCAGCACAGGGTGGCTACAGGGGCTCAGAAGGTGTTGGGCGAATGTGGCTGAGTCGAGAGGACCACACATTGGTGGCCCTGGGGCTGGGTTGTCCCAGGGAACTCCCTGCCTATCTGTCTTTGCCTTTGGGGGTCTCTGACAGTCTCTGGGTATCTCTGGGGTCTTAGAGATCTCTGAGTTTTTCTGCGTATCTATGGGGGTTTCTGAATGTCTCCAGGTATCTCCGAGGGTCTCTGTGCTGACAGGCTGGCCCTGCCTGGTACTCAGGCCGGGACCTGCTCAGCATGTATCAGGCGGCAGGAGAGGGAGTAGAGAGATGTGCTGTCCGGAAGCTTCTGGATCCCTTCAGCCAGGGTGGGGCCCGAGGAGCCCAGAGCTGCCCCGCTTCCCACAGGCCGGGGCATGGCCGGCTGTGGCTGCAGCAGGAGGCCCAGACCCTGGGTCTCCCAGACCCCAGGACCCTCCAGATGCCAGGACTCCTAAACCTCCTGAACTCTAGGCCCTCCAGATGCCCCCAACCCCGGCCTCCCGGGTCCCCCAGCCCCACCTCCAGAGCCCACTATCCCAGCCCCTCGCTTGCCTGCCCCCACCACCCCCCGCACCCCTGCAGCCCGGGCGTCGGGTGCTTCCTCATTTCCTCATTTCCTCCTATTCTAAGAGGCCCAGCGCTGTGGCGTGAGGGACGTCTACCAGCACCAGGCCCAAGGCCAGCTGGTGCCCCACTGTCCCTCTCGTCCTGAGAGCCTGAGCGTCTTGTGTGTGCCTGCTGGTTGATTTCAATGTCTTAGTTGAAGGTGTCGAATATGATTTGCATTCACACGGTGTGATAGGATCCTAAAATAAAAAATATTACAACGTACATGGTGAGGTTTTCCCTCCCATCCGCCGGCCACTAAGAGGTAACCACAGGTATTTGTTTTTTCTGTTTCATCCAAAGTTTCTTTAGGCAAATAAAATCTAAAAGTTTTTTTTTTTGCTTGTTTCACTCAATATTTTCTCTTGGCGACATCTGCCTTCACCCAGGCCTGCTCCCACCTCAGGGCCTTTGCACAAGCTGTTCTATCCCCCAGATGCCCTTACCCCACCTCCTTAGTCTATAAGCCCTCTTATCCTTCTCAATAAGGGCTCCCCTGATCATCCCACTACAAAGTTGCCGCCCTTCCCTCTCACTTCCCACCTTGATTTTTCTCTGCATCCTCCCCACCACCTGTTATGTATTTTCCTGATGTATCCTGCGTATCACCTGTTCCCCTCACTGCTACAAGAACCCCGACAGGGCAGGGGCTTTTGTCTCTTTTGTTCACAGCTGTATCCACAGCTCCTAGGCCAGTGCCTGGCACACAGTAGGAGCTTATAAAGGTTTGTGGAGGAAATGAATGAGTCTTTCCCTACCAGTTCGTGGAGATATATAATTTCGTTTTCATGACTCCAAGCTGCCCCAGGATGGATGAACTGTTATTCATCTAGCCAATCCCTGAAATTGTTTCCGATTGTTTTTCATACAACAAACAACGCTGCAGTGAATTATCTCATACCCATGTCTTCTTTTTGCCTTCTTTTTTTTATTGTGCAAAATGCACTTATAAAATTTACCATTTTAGCCATTTTAAAGTGAACAATTCACTGATTTTTAATACATTCATGGTGTTGTGCGATCATCACCCCTCTCCAGTTCCAGAACATTTCCATCACCTCAAACGGAAATGCTGTCCCACGAGCAGTCACTCCCCATCCCCCCATTCCCAGGCCCTGGCAGCCAGTAATCCACTTTCTGTCTCTGTGGATTTGCCTGTTCTGGACGTTTCATATAAACGGGATCACACACCGTGTGGCCTTGTGAGTCTGGCTTCTCTCACTCAGCATCATGTTTCCAAGGTTCATCCACGCTGTAGCATGTGTCAGAGCTTCACTCCTTTTTAAGGCTGAACAATACTCAATTGTGTGGATGGACCACATTTTCTTTACCCACTCAGCAGTGCACACCCCTGACATTCTGCAAACATGCGACTCTTTGGGGGAGTCCCAGGAGCGGGGTGCCGGGTGAGTGGGCACACGTGTTTGCAATCCTAGTGCAGGGCACCTTCCATCGGACCGCACCATGGATGCTCCCCCAGCGATGCACCGGGTTGCCCGTTTCCCCACAGCCCAGCCAGCACAGGGGGCCATCACACTTTTGAATTTTTGCCAGTTTGATAGGTGAAAACAAGTGGTATCTCAGAGTTTTTGTGATTCGCAGTTTCCTGGTAGTAGGGGATGCCTCCGGGAGTGTTGAAGAACACTTGGCAGCCCTTTCTGCAAAGTCTCAGTTCAAAACCTTTCGCCATTCCTCTGAGTTTGGAGATGGAAAGGGGCAGAATCTGAAGAGAGGGGAAAGCGTGAGGGAGTGGACTCCAGCCTCCCAGAGTCCAGGAGAAGGCGCGCAGGCTTTATCCCATTTTACAGATGTGGAAACTGAGGCACAGAGTGGTGAGTCAGGGCCTGGAATGGATTTGGGCCTGGGAGGCCTGATGCCAGGACCCCAGGGAGGCTGAGACCTTCTCCCAGCCCCCTGCATACTCCCTCCTCAGTCTCACTCTTGTCACAGCCCTGCAGGGCTGACTCAGGCCCCCAGCTCCTCTGGGACTCTGGCCTCCCCCCCAGGTTCCTCACGCCCGACGCCAGGCTCCCTCCAGAGGAATCTTTTGACACAGTGCCCATCCACTGCTCACATGTCTGCCTTGGCTCCCCGTGGCCCTGGGAATGAAGCCCCACTCCCTCAGCCTGGCTTCCAAGGCCTGCGCCGCCATCCCCTGCCCACAGCACCAGCCCCTCCTCTTAGCCCCTCCACTCCAGCCACTCCACTCCTGACCACACTGTACCAGCCGGCCATGCTTCTCAAGCTTCAAGGTCTTTGCTCCTGCTGTGCCTTCCGCCTGAAATCTGCAATGCATTTGTTTCTGCCTGACACTGCAACTTACCCTGCAAGCCCCAGACTTAACGTCCACTCCCCTAGGGAGCCCTCCTCACACCCCCTTTAGCAGGGAGGCATCACTGTACATGAGCGAGGGCTCTGAGTCTGTGGGAGAAGGTAGGATCTTGAGAGTCAGAGGCAGGTTTTAGGAATCCTTGGCAAACTCCTACTCACACGTTGAAGCCCCAATTTTCATACCTTATCCTCCAGGAAGCCTTCCAGGATCCTGTCCCTTCCTGTGCCCTGCCTGACACCATGGGGCTGGAGGTGTCTGTGTCCTGCTCTGTCCTCTCCCAAGCCCAGGTGGGTGCTGCTGGAGAACCCCGCCAGGTCTGAGGCCTCTTGGGGGCCCAGCACGAGTGATGTTTGTTGAACGAATAAATGAACGCATGGGTTGGGAGTCAACTGAGCTGAGACTGGGAAGCGAGTTGATGAGGTAGCGGTCAGTTGGGGTGTTAATGGGGGACATGTAGTCATTGGGTTCCAGCAAGTGGGAAGCGGGCCGCCCCTCCCCCTCCCGTGAGAATTCTGGGCCTTGAGGTCTTTCCGGGGGGCGGGTCTCTGTGTCCTCTTCATTCTTCCCCTCTGCACTCCACCCGGACACCAGTTCCTCTTCCCGCTGAGTCGCTGGGTGGAGAGCCTGAGGAGCGGCAGGGACCACAGCGGATCCGAGCCGCGGAGGGTGCCCGCCGCTCCGGCCCCGCGTCCAGGTGAGCCGCCACGCAGGCCCCCGCGCGGGAGCCTTCCAGCACCGCCAAGGCAAAGGCGTGGCGGTGGGACCGGAAAAGTAGGACGGAGGCGCTGGGCCTCGGGTCTGTGCAGGGGCCGCACATCAGAGCTGGGGGCCCCTTTCTGCAGCCCCCACCCCAGTCCGGCCCAGGACTCCCAGCGGCGCGCAGTTCTGGAGGAAACAATTGGCGGGGCCCGGCGCGGGGCCGTTTCCGGGGCAACCTCTCATTTGCATAGGGCCCCGTCTTGGCCAATGAGGGCCCCCGAACTTTTCGGAGGGGGGTGGGGGCGTGGGGGAAATGGGCAAAGCCCGAAGGGTCTCATCTGCGGAAGGGGAAGGGGGTCACCTGGCGGAGTCTCCTCCTCGCCTTCCCAGCCCGGGATTCGGGGTTATGTACCCATTCCCCAGAAGGAGAGACTGAGGCTGGGGGCCAGAGCCGACCAGCGAGGGGCTGCGTTTCAGCATATCAGAAGCTTCCTGAGCTGCTCCGAGCTATAAAAGAATAATAACAAGAAACACAGGCGGTGAGGGCGAGGGTGACCACAGGCTGAGGTCGGGGCTTGCATTCCGGTGTCTCTACCTAGGCTGCCTGAATGGGGGGCGCCCTGGCGTGGGTGCTGCTGTTGCTGCTGCCGCTGCAGGATCCAGGCAGCCAGGGACTGTCCTGCGACGTGTTCAACGTGTCCTCGGGAGTCGTGGACTGGACCAAGGAGTTCACAGCCACATGCCTGAACTTCAGTGGCCAAGGCCTGAGCCTGCCCCAGAACCAGTCTCTGCAGGCCCCCAGCCTGGGCATCCTCGACCTGTCGGGGAACGGCCTGCAAGAGCTCCCGCTGCTGTTCTTCGCCCACCTGGAGAAGCTGAGGGTCCTGGACGTAACGCGCAACCCTCTGGACCGTGTGGACAGGGCGCTGGCTGAACGCTGTGACCTTGACCTGAAGGCCGACTGCCTCTGCTTCCTAGCATCCTGGCGCGAGTTCCGGCAAGACAACTGCTCCGACCAGCCACCTCTGCAGTGCCTGCATGCAGACAGCGGCACCTGGCACAATGCCTCCGCCTTCCTGGAGGGCAGCTGCCCCCCTGGCCTGGCCCCAGTGACCATTGGGGCACTGGTGGCCAGTGGAAGCCTGCTCCTGGGGCTCGCCATTGCTGGCTCAGTGCTGGCCTGGAGACTCCGGAGACGCTGGACATCCAGTAGCCAGGGCCTGGGCAAAACACAGGCTGCTCAGGGTGGTCCCAGGCCCAGCTCCGGCCGGCAGCCGAGGTACAGTAGCCGAGGCCTCAGCCCCAAGCCCTCAGAGGGCACCCTGCCCAGGTCCTCCACGCCCGACTATGAGAATGTGTTCGTGGGCCAGCCGGATGCCGGGCACCAGTGGGCCGAATACAGGTGAGTGACCCACACACGTCTGCCTGCACAACCCTGGAGCCAAATGGCCGGGGTTCAAATCTCATCTCTGCCTCTTACAGGCTATGTGATCTTGGGCAAGTAGTTTGACTTCTCTGGGCCTCAGTCTCCTCATCTGTAAAATGGGATACTAACAGCCCCTGCCTCATGGAGTTGGGATAAGAATTGAGTCCCTGTATATGGGACAAGCTTCCTCCTTCATGACCTGCAAACCCAGTTTCTGCTGCCAAGGACGAGGAGAGAGGAGGCAGGTGCTCCAGGCAGAGGGGGGCTCTGCGGTAGCGGTCAGCGACCTGGGCTCGGATCTTGTGTGACTCAGGGCCGTCTCTGAACCTCTGTTTCCGTCTCCGTGAAATGGGGGCAGCCCCTCCACCCCTCCTTGTCACACAGGAGATGCTAAGAAGGCCATCCGAGTCCCTCTCTCTCCACGCAGCCCCAGCACCTCTGGATGACCTGGCCGGGTGTAGACAGATGGGTCCAGCTTTTCCAGGGCGGATGAGGGAGTAGAGGGCATTTCAGGGGGCAGCACTAGCAGGGCAGAGGCCTGGAGAGGGGAGAGAACAGAGGGTCTTCTGTGAGTGAGCTGTGTGAAGGCAAGATGTGAGAGGGGTCTTGGACCCTACTCGGAAGGGTCCAAGTAGGAAGGGGATAGGGTCATGGCTGGGTTCAACAGCGGAATCCACGAGGTGGGGACATCCGCGGGAGGCTGTTGGTGAGAAATGAGAGAAAATACAAAGCAGATGCAAATAGGGCTCAAAAGCAGAAGTGGTCTGCGGCAGGGAGTGGAAATCACTAGCCTCACTAAGGCAGCTTGTGCTCTGATGCTCGCCTCTGCCTCACTGTCACCAAGCCCTCAGGGCTCAGTCTCCTCCAAAGACATTGTTTTGAATTTGATGTGTCAATCCATCCTACATTTTACAGTTGCAGAAACGGAGGCTCTGGGAGGAAGGGCGATGACTTGCCCAAGGTCACACAGTGAGTCAGAAGTAGAGGCAGGAAACAAACCCTGACTCCCAGTCCTGTCCATCCCTATACAACCATTTATATGTTCAGAGTAATTCATACTAAAGTATGAACGACTGATAGACACCACTTATCCAAAGTGGCCTTTGCTACCGGAGGAGCCAGGGGTGGGGTTAAGTTGTTCTGGAGGCAGATAAGTTCTTCTCTGGGGTCTTACCTACCATAGCTAGACCTTCCTAAGAAGCTACCTTCTCCTGACCAAGTCTATGGATGCAGAAACTGAGGCTCAAAGATTGATTTTTATATCGAGGCCACAAAGTCAGTTGTTTCAGGGGTCTGGCAAAGACACTTCCCATCTAAAGGGGCAGACACTCTTTGGCTCCAGCCACCTGTATCCATGTGGCTGCTGTGACTCAGAGCTTCTGATTTTTCAAGAGGAAACCGGGGCCGGCCCCATGGCTTAGCAGTTAAGTGCTCACGCTCTGCTGCTGGTGGCCCGGGTTCGGATCCCGGGCGCGCACCGACGCACCGCTTCTCCAGCCATGCTGAGGCCACGTCCCACACACAGCAACTAGAAGGATGTGCAGCTATGACATACAACTATCTACTGGGGCTTTGGGGGGAAAATAAATAAATAAAATCTTTAAAAAAAAAAAAAAGAGGAAACCGAGGTCTAGATTTTAATGTAAAAAATGGGTAACTATCTCAGCTTTAAGGAAGAAGAAACCCTACAATGAGCGCAAGGTCATCGGATGCAGCATTACAGTGCTGAATCCACAGAATCTTCCCTGAATCACTGGCCCCTACTTCCTTTCCTCAGAGAAAGTTGGCCAGGCTGGGAGAACGCTGCTCCGTGCCTCAGTTTCCTCATATGTGAATGTTAGTAGTGGACGCAGCCGCCCTGAACTGTCTTTGCCTCTCACGGCTGACATGCCTGCCCCCTGAGTCCTCCCTCCCCTCTGGTGTGTCTGTTCCCACAGGGCTCACCCGTCAGAGGACAGCAGCTTCTACATGAACTACGAGGGCCTTGACCCTGCCTCCCAGCCTGTCTACTGCAACCTGCAGTCGCTGGGCCGGGCCCCGCTGGGCGAAGAGGAGTACGTGATCCCCGGGCGCTGAGCTGCCACGTCCCCAATCCAGCCTGCCCCCTTCCAGCTCTTCCCTGGCCTCAGTCCTCCCGTCTGAGGAGTGGGGACAGGGAAGGACTGTTCTCGAGGCCCCAGGGAGGCTCTGCAGCCGCCTCCCCAGCCCTGACCCTGCCCCTCAGCCCCCTCGGCTGCCAGAAGGGGAGGAGGAGAGACCCCAACACAGGGACAGGAGGCTCGATGTGTGAACTCCGCCGTGTGCAGCCAGCGCTCAATAAAGGCTCAGGGCAAGTCGGTTCCTCGCGGTGGGGATTTCCTGAGCTCCCAAGACCATACCTCTTTCTGAGACTCCCGCATTGCTCCCCACCCCCCGTCCCTCCCTCTGTCCCTCTCAGGCCTGCTCGGCCCCCAAGGCAGCCCACGCCAGCCGCAGAGGGATCTTTGTAACTCATGAATGGGACCGCGTCCCCCCACCACCACCCCCCTCACGTACCCTACGTGGCTCCCCATTGCCCCCAGATCCTCGGCCTGGTGGCTGAGACCTGCGGGATCCAGCCCTGCCCGCCTCACTACCTGCTCCCCTCCCTCTGCCCTTCTGGTCTGGGCCTCCTCCCCACCAAGCCCACCTCCCTCCTGGAAAAAATCTTTCACTTTTCTGTGCCATTTGCCCAGGCCATTCCTGTCCAGAACGCCACCCCCTTCCACTCTTTCTCACACTTAAACATCTCATACAGATGCAGAACAGTGGCCTGGGCGTCAGGAGGCATGGGTCCAAGTCCTAATCCCGCCATTAGCTCTCTGGGCCTCAGCTCCCCAGTCTCTAAAACAGGAGGATTCCAATTGGTCTCTACGGCTGTGTCAGCTCTGATGCAGAGACATCTTAGCTGGCCCTTCCAGGCCCAGGTGCAGGGTCACTTCCTCTGAGAAGCCCTCCCTGGTTCCTCCTCAAGCAGAGTGAATTGATCCCGGAGCTCACTGTGTTTCAAGAGTTTGTTCAAGGTCATGCCTCTGCTGGGTTTCCTGTCAGCTGCTCCCAGCCTGGCTCCTGCCAAGCCCCCAGTCTAGGGGAGACAGCTGGACACAGACACCCCCAGTCCTGGAGAGTCAAGCCCAGGCTGGAGGGAGGGATGGGGCCAGGGTCCCCAGAGGGTGATGATTGAAGGAGTTTGAAAAATGCCACGTGTAGGAGGGGAATCTGGAGTGGGGTTTGAAGGATGCACAGGAGTTTGAGAAGTGAAGAGAAAAAGGCATACTGGGCAGGGGGAAAAGCACGTGTGTCAGCCTGGGGGTGTGAAAAGGCACGTGGCCAGCACACTGGCCGGCAGAGGCAACAGCTGGCGTTTGGGGAGAGACTCGGTATGGCATCTGCTAGCTGTGGGTGACCCCGGTGTGGAGGTTAATTTTGAGGCCCCGTTGGCTCCCCAACACTTGAGAGTGACCTGAGGCAGGAGAGGGGGCCTATGAGGGTCTTCTGCTTGCTTGCGCCTCTGTATCCCTCCCGTGCTACACACTGCTCAAGCCCCCACTCCTGCCCCCAGTCCCTGTGCCCCTCCCGGCATAAATCAGATCCCCTTCCTCCCCAGCTTTCACACTCTTCACACCAACCCATTGTTCTTCCAACAGATCCACACACCCACCACCACCCAGGAGATCTGGTGAGTTTGGGCCCACCTCTCTGGCCACATTTTCAATAGTTTTGCTGCTGGACACAGATTGTTCCCACCTCAGGGCCTTTGCACCTGCTGTTCCTTCTGCCTCAAATGCCCATTCCCCCAGCTCTCCCTCGTAGTCCTGTCCTTCCTCCACTTCTCAGTTCAGATGTCACGTCCTCAGGGAGGCCTCCTCCCCAGTCATCTAAATCCCCTCGGCCTCATTCACTAACGCGTTGCTTCGGGTGACTCCTCGGCACAATTCTTACTACAATTGGCCGCTTTTTAATGATTTATCTTTGTACTCATTTGTCTCCCTCACTCAACCAAGCTCGAGTGGGGTGGTTTCTGCCTGTCTTGTTATTTCTGTGTCCTCAGCGCACAGCCAGGCCTTGCACAAAGTGGGCACTCACTGGAAACATCTGGGGGCACCTACAGTCATTCAGGTCTGCCTCTGGGTGGTGGCATTCACAGGCAACACACCTCACTCACTGCTGGAGGTGGATTCTCTGTCCCCCAGACCTCCATAACAGTTCCTCTCAGAGAGTCTCATGGTGGGCAGCAGGTGGGTGTGAGGAGAGGCTGGACTCAGCACATCTCAGCAACTCCAAAATCCTAAGTAGGAAGAATATATAACCAGGGAGATGTGGTGAACATGAAAATGTTCTTCACAACTTATTTCTCCCTGCTTTTTTTATATGAAAGAGTAGAGACACCATTAACAGGGAGGGAGGTTCCACAAACAAGAGGGGTGATGGGACTCTTCTAGATCAGGGGCCGCATCACACACAACACGCTTGATGGCAGATGGACATGACTCTGGGCTGCCTGTGTTTAGAAAGTTAACTCCAGTGTGGAGAGAAAACCAGGGCCAGATCATTATAGAAACAGGAGTACTGAGACATGAGGAGAGATGGAGGGTTACTGAGCCCCAGAAGGGTCTCAAATGGAAACAGGAACAGGGAGATAGAGCAGCACCAAGACAGAGAGAGATGTCCTCGGCTGCCCTTCAGGCCCATTAGTGTCATGGGAGCCAGCCAATGCCCAGCATCCAACAACGCCCTGCCATCCATTCCCTGAACCGGCCCACTCACCCCTGTACCAGGTCCCCTGTGGAAACTGAGGCCAGGGAGGGGCGAGATCTTCCCTAGGTCACCACCACAGGGGTCAGGTCAGACAGCTTCATTTTTATTTCCTGAGTTTTAAATAAATGCACACCCGGTCGGACCAGCCCTCCAGTCCCCAGGCAGACTGTCCCAATAAATTAATAATAAATACAAACATAAATACAGAGGTCTGGGCAGGAGGGGCAGACAGCAGGGGTTAGGAACGAGATAGTCCAGGACCCGCAAGCCCATTCGGCAGGCCAGGACCACCGAGGTCACTTCCACGGCGCACGTGCCGCAAGTGGAGGAGTAGGCCGCTCACTGGCAGTGGCAGCCGCCGGCCACGAGGTCGTCGAAGGGCGTGAGCGTCACGCGGCCATCGCTGTCCTGGTGCAGGAGCACTACGGGCTCGTAGCTGGACGGCACGCAGCATGGCGCGGGCGCGGCGTCAGGACTCAGGCCGTGCAGCCGCGCCAGCACCTCCGCGTGCCTGCTCGCCGACCGGAAGTGGCTCGGGCACGCGCCGACGCACATGCGCACGTCCAGCTCGCGCGGTGCCACCACCCAGTCGGCCCAGCCGAGATCTTCGAGCGACGCGCGCAGGCTCAGCAGGCGGCAGCAGCGCCCCGCCCCAAGCGGGCACTCGTCTTGGGGGTGCGCGTGCGCTCCGCGGCGCCCCCTGGCGGCGGGGGACCGCCAGCGCAGCTCGAGCTGGGGCTGTGCAGAAGGCAGTGCCTCCAGCAACCCGTCCGACGGCGGCGGCAGGCGCAGGCGGAGTGCGGGAGCCCTGGAGGCTCCAAGGCTGAGCTGCCGCTGCAGCTGCTGCGTCACGTCCCACGAGCGTGGCGCCCTCGGGGACAGCCGGAGCAGGGCCTGGTGCAGACGGGAGCCTGCGGGGAGCCCCTCCGTCAGGTTGGCCCGGAGGATGCGCAGGCGCAGGTGGCCATCGGGCCCAAGTCTCACTGTGGGAGAGAGAGGGGAAGGACAGTCACCCACGGGCCTACTGTGTGCCGGGTGCGGGGTGCCCATTTCGTCCCACTCACCAAGCTGGATCCTACCTCGGGGCCTTTGCACAAGCTGCCTCCTCTACCGGGCACACTCCTCCCCTGAACCTCAGCCTGGGCTGCCATCCTTCCAGCCTGCCTGACATCGGCACCGCCCTCCTTTACCTGGTTGTGTATCATTCGTCTCCCTACTAGAATCTCAGAAGGGATTTCTGTCGGCTTGTCACCAGCATACCTGGCACACAGTAGGCACTTAGTAAATACTTGCAGGAGGGAATGTATAGCCCATATTTAGAGGCTGAGATTCAAACGCTGGCTCCGCCTTCTCCTTCTGGCAGTCAGAAACGTGTTAATGAAGCCCTATATCTGAGGAATGAAGGGTACGGCTCCACAGGATTCTCAGACCCCGAGGCTGGTGCAGGTGTTGGGGATACGGGGGGACTGGGGTTTGAGGACCCTCGACCCAGTCGCTAGGCTCAGAGAGGGCAAGAGGTTTACCTGGAGTCTCACAGCACAAGTGCGATTGGGGCGGGATAAGAGCGCTCCCTTCTGGCCTGACACCGCCCCCAACCCCTCCCAGTTCCCAGCGCAGCCCAGCTCTTCTTCTGCCCTCCCCAAACCCCGGAGCCTCCGTGGAGGGCGCGAGAATACCCTCCTCCCTTCCTCCCTCAAGGCACCTGTCACGTGCGGCTTGAGTAGAGCCTCCTAGAGCGATTGCATCATATTCGGAACCCGCCCGGGCAGGTTCTGCCCTTGCTGAGCACCGCTCGCTCCCGCCCCTTCTCCTCCCGTCCCGGCATCCTTCCTCCTGGATCCCCCCAACCCCCACCTCAACCCCAGCTACATCCAAGGACAGGGACCCCGTCCCCCGGCCCGACCTTGTCTCTGGGCTCTCCAGGCTCTGTGAGAGCTTCTCGAGGCCTCAGTCTCCCCATCTGCCATGCGAGGAGGTGTGGTAACATCTCACGTTGGCTAAGCCTCGCCTGATTCCCACGCCAACGGGTCCGCCAGCTCCCCCATCAGCCCCGAGGGGTTACGTTCTTGCCGGGTCCACAGATGGGGAAACTGAGGCTCCGCGGCAGGTTCTATGGCCCAGAACCACTGCCTATGATGATGGGAGCTGCCCGGGGGGGGGGGGTTGTCTCTGAGATTTCACTCACGCTTTGGGGTGAGTATCCGGACTTGAGCAGCGGTGATGAGGTCGGGGTTCGAGTCTTCCCAGGTCTGGTTCAACAGCAGCCTGGTCTGCAGGTGCTCGTAGCGTGTCCGCAACTCGCGGACTCTGGACACGTCGGGACTGGAGTGCACGTCTGAGGGTCCCGGGAAGGCCGGGGAGTGCTCCCGGGCCGGAGGTAGGGCGCCTCCCGGGGGCGGCCACCAGAGCAGCAGCAGCAGCGGCAGCATCGGGGAGCCGCACGGGGGCGTCAGCGCTGGCCGGCGCACGGCGGTGCTGGTTCAGCTCTGAGCGGGGACTGACGGGACGGCGCGGGACTGGCCTTTATAAGTCCCCCGGACTTTGTCCGCCCCCGCCTGCCTGGTCCCGCCCGCCGTGGGTGCAAAGTAAACACTCCAGGGACCACAGTTGGGCGGGATCTTGGGCTGCTTTTCACGGGGAGGCGCTTGGGGGGGGGGCTCCGGGAGAAGCTGGGCCATCCACCCCCGCCCACCGCCCCCTGGGAACCTCTCTGAGCCTCAGCATCCTCTTCCATGAAATGGAGACATCATCCCAGCTTGGTGTGCTGGAGGGTAGAATAGAATGATTTTGTCAAAAAAAGACTTATTACTATGTGCTAAATTCCATAGCAAGAGCTTAAGAGGCGGCCTTCTTCCCCCGTGGGATGCCTTCTCTACCCTCTCTGGTTAGGATCAAAGGCTG